GGCAGCCAAGAATTGCCACCCAGTACCAAGCTATCTTTGTTCAGTGTCCCTTGCAAAGGACCAAATCTAATGTTTTTGAATCTGTCATGAATTGTGAGATGGGCAACTCTCAGGCAAAACTGAGTGCAGATCCTTAATACTACAGGAATGGGAACCTAAGAGAAGGCCAGTGTCCTTCAGTGTCATGCAGTGCCACTTTTGTATGATAGGTGTGGTGGTCTGAATGAAAATGGTCCCCATAGACTCAGGGAATGGCATTATTGAAGGTGTTGCCTTGTTGGAGTAGGTGTGGCCTTGTTTGAGGAAGTGTGTCACTGGGAGGTGGGCTTTGACATGTCAGAAGCTCAAGCAAGACTCAGTGCCCCTTCCAGCTGCCAGTGGGTCCAGTTATCAAAATCTCTGCTGTATCTCCAGCATTATGTCTGCCTGCATGCTACCATGTTTCCCACCATGATGATAGTGGACTAAACCTCTGAACTGCCAGTCCCAATTAAATGTTTTCCTCTACAAGGGTTGCTACGGTCATGGTGTCTCTTCACAGCAATAAACCCTAACTAAGACAGTAGGCATTCTGTCTCAGAAAGACATACTATAGCTCCAGGCCAGTCCTCATAAAATTAGATGAGATTTCTTTCTAGAGGCTTCCATGTTGATAAGATTCAGCTTTGAACTTAGGGCAGAGTGCAATAGAGATATAGCTTCTCTTTCAAGTCCTTTGTTGGGGAGGCATATGGACCAGACTATGGGGAAGGCAGATGTCTCTTTGTAGGCACTGGGCATTTTCTCTCTAAAATGGAGGAACTCCAGCCATGGACAGCAGCTGTATAGGAAATCTTCTGAGATTCGTGGGTGTTCTCTCAGCTCCATACCCAGGATCCTTTCTCCCAGATAGACTCCTTCTGTCTGATGCTCCATGGGGAATCTAGGGATTCTAAGCCAAATCCTTCCAGTTGTCAGTACTTACACAACCAACTTGGGACAAAAGATGTAATCTGTGTAAGAGATTTCCATTATGAAGGAGTAAAGCCTTGGGACAGTGACTGGGCAGAAGGGAAGAAGCATTATGGAAGTCATTGTCACCCCATGAAGAAGGTTCCTGCCTACAGGACAAATCTTTACCTATTCTGCATGAAGGCACACAGCAAGAGAATGGTTATCTATAAGGAAGACCTTGCAAAACACTGAAGATGTTTCAGTGTTTCTCAGATTACGGAATGTGAGAAATAAATTTCTGCAGCTCGTAATGCATCCAGTAGGGGGCATTGTGTCACAGCCATTCAAATGGCTAAGTCTGGAGCTCAGCCTATTTTAACCTGAGTAAAGAGAGAAAATAGGCTTATTTGTTACACCGAAAAGAGAAGAGTGGTCACATCAACAGATGACCTGTGTGCCAGTAATAGGATATTTTGACATCACCCCAACAAAAAGGTCATTTTCTCAGAAGATTCTCCTAAATGACCAAGGGAGTGAACTTGCCTAGGCAAACCCTTCTGTTGATGACAGTATTTACATTCACTACATTGTTGATTCCTTGTAGGTTATTTCTTTGAAATCATAGCCTCTGAAAACACACAGATGCTGTTAATACTGGTGACACAGAGCTTGAATGTAGGGATGCATAAACATAGCTCTCATTCCATACACCTGGAATCTTAAAAAAGACCTTTAAAACAAGCTGGAAAACAGGATTGTGAAGTAGACAGAAGGAAGGTTTTTGTGAGATCATAAACTGTACATAAAAATGGAACACGCATGGCAGGTGTGGGAGCACATGCCTTTAGTCCCAGCACTTGGGAGGCAGAGACAAGTGAATCTTGTGAGTTTGAAGTTAACTTGGTCTACATAGTGATTTCCAGGACAGCCAGAGCTACATAGGGAGACCAAGACCTGTCACCAACAAAAAGGGGAACTCCCTCCAGTGCTCTGAGTCCAGGTAAAGGCAGGAGTAGGTACTCTCTGTCTCTAGTGTGGACTGAACAGCTTTATTCACTTCATGTGCCCCCAGCACCTACTCCCGTCCAGATCCATAAGGTGCATAAACATCACCCCATTCAGTCTTCCTTGGCTTCAGACCTTCAGTAATTGGTAGATGGAAACAAGATTTGCATGTGCTTCCTCTCCTCTAGTCCAAAGGAAAAGATAAGAGGCCAAGAGCACCTCACCCCAGCTCTGAACCTAAATGGGATTGAGTCAGCCATGGCCTGGTCCTCACTTGTCCTCCTGCCTTTCTGGCAAGTATCAGGTACACGCTTCACATGTTTAAAGCCAGCCTCTTCTGGCCAGGGCATTTTGCTTTCTCATCATTACTATCTCTTTCCAGGTTCCACAGCAGAACCTGTGCTGACTCACTGCTGGCCCTCACTGCCTCTCCTGGAGGACCAGCCAGACTCACCTGCATCCTAAGTAGTGATTTTATTATGACTGGCTACTCCATGTCCTGGTACCAGCAGAAGTTAGGGAGCAGTCCTCAGTTTCTTCTAAAAATACTACTCAGACTCAGATACGTACTAGAGCTCTGGGGTTACCATCCAATTCTCAGAATTTAAAGATGCCTCGAGCACTGCAGGACTTTTACTCATCTCTGGAATTCAGCCTGAGGATGAAGCTGACTATTACTGTTAAATATATCATGGCAACAGTTATACTTACCCAGTGTACCAAACCAAGGAGAAGTGAAATCTAAAACTTCTCATTTGATTTCCTGTCACTCCTACAGGCTCTGGAGGAAGTCTAAGTTAGGAGTCAGTTTATTACCACATGGAGCACTCATGATGTCCTAGTAGTTATAAATGTGAGAACATCTACTACCTCTCCTTACTTACAATGCTAGTTTGATGCACTGTTAATACATTCTCAACCTGGACATTTCCACATGGACATAAGTCAGTTATCAGGATTTAGTTTCCCTTCAGGGGAATGAAAAGTGAGGGTGGTCAATCACAGTGTGTAGGCATGGCTCTAAGTCACCTGTGATCTGAGATCATCTTATCTGTCTGTAGTGTGTCCAGATCATCACCACTGACCATCCCCAAGAGTGACCTAAATTTTCTTGCATCTGTTATTTTCAACATGTTAGTGGGGCATGTCCTTCTTGGAGGAGGCTTAGAAGAAGAAAGTCCATAGCATGAAGCTTCCCCCAACTGATACAGGCTCAGAAAATACCACTTGTCTGTGCCCCAGGAGGCTCTCCAGCCTCTGTCAAGACTTTGTTAGGACTGAAGACAGGAGGCCTTAAAGATGTTGTCAAAGGAAGAAGATCCATGCCACAAGAATTTGAAATGAAGAGCAGAAGTATTTAGAGAGCTGTGTCCCAACCAACTTGTGAGTTTTAGCAAGTCCACACTGTAGAATCCTGTACTACATCATCTTCCTTTTCATAGGTGATGGATGCAACTGTCCTTCTCTGAATGTTCTGGAGCCTCAGCCAGAGCAACCAGCATCCTGGGTGATGGTGTTGTTTTTGCTGGCTATGTGTATGGATATCACATATACTGGTACTAGGACTCAGAAACACTCCTGGGTCTTTCAGAGAGGTTCCTCCTGAGCACCATTAGTGTTCCTCTTTCCATTTGTCAGTGCAGTGTGGCACGTCCACTCACTTCAAAGAACAGCAAAAGTGAGGCACAGCAGTCTGTGTGTGACTCCCATTTCACACACAGATTTGCCTGACCTGGAACATGTCTGGTCCTCCTCCTGCATTCCATTTGCCTTGCTGTAAGCAATACCATGAACAGATTGGCTTATAAATGATAGCCATGCATCTCTCACATATCTGGAGACAACAAAGTCCTTAATCAGAACAATGATATCTTTTGTCTACAATCACATGGAAAGAATCTTATTGAGGAATTATCCTGGTCACGTTGGTCTACGGTGATGTCTGTAAGGAGTTGTCTTGGTAATTGAAATAGGAGACTCAATATGAATGTGGGAAGTACTGTTTCATAGGCGTGGCTCTAGAGTGTATAAAAGCAAAGAAAGCAGCAAGTAGCACAGAGCAGCAAGTAAGTGAGGATGCATGTATTCTTTTTGCTCATGACTGTGAATGTGAAGTGATTAGCTGATTGAGTTCTTGTCTTGACTCCCCCACAATGATGGACTGTAACTTTGAATTGTAAGTCAGCTGTGGGGCATACATGGGTTGCAAAGAGGGTGCCAAGAGAAATTCAGATAAATAGAGCTCAAGTTTTAAGCTGTTTATGAACAGAGAGTGGATACAAATGGTACCAGAAGAAGTTAGTTTAAGCTGTTTGTGCAGAGAATAGATACAAAGGATGGCTAAGAGGAAGTTAGCTTGGGTTGTCTGTATGGAGATTAAAGACGAATGGTGAGGAAGGAAGTTAGCTCAAGTTATTTATGCTAAGATAAGATACTAAAAACAGGAGATGATGTCAGGGCATGAACAACTTGTAAATAGGGTGACCTTTAAAATGATTGGTTGGTTCCTTCACCCCCCTCCTAGGGTTCTGAGGTTTTCTGGTATAAAAGAGGCTTACTGCCTATCAATAAACGAGTTCTTGCTTGACTTGACTCCCCACTGCATCTGGTTGTCTCCAGATAAGAGGGAGGCTGGGGAACGGGCAAGTGGCGTGCACTTACCTTTCCTCGGTTCCAGGCCACCTCTTCACAGGCGACCTAACTTCCTGGTGGGGCAGGTCCCCACAGTCAGCCCTCTTCCCTGATTGACTTTTGGTTAGGGTGTTTTATCACAGCAACAGAAATTGATATCAAGAGAGGTGATGTTTTATGATGATCTGACCTGCTGCTTTTTGAAAGGATAGTGTGATATTTTGCATCTTGGGACTGGGGAATCTGCTGAATGCTCACAACCTAATGCGCATTCTAGTTATATTTTAGAAGAAAGAATTCTGGAAGAAATGCAGACGATGTAAGCCTGTCTTATGAGGTTTCAAAAGGGAACAAGAAGTGTAGTGGAAACTGAATTAGGAATTACTGGTGTGATATTTGCCTAAGAATCTATGTGTCGTGGTTATGCTCAGGATGAAGAAGGACCTGCAGTTGCCAAAGATCTCATCACTACCAAAGTGGAACCACTTGTACCTCACTGGGACAGCAGGACAGAGCTTATAAGCTGTGCTCAGAGTGGATCACGCTACATGTAAGAAGAACTCAATCAGCAATGTAAGTGATCATGAAGAATATCCAAGACTTGGCAGTTTATATCAGAGTCAGAGTCCTTCTGAAGATGCCCTAGCAAGCTCCAGTTGCACTGGAGGCCCCAGAATGTTGGAAATGCCAGGACTGTGAGACATCTGTGAAGGAGCTGTGGGTGTGGGGTAGAACCATTATAAGAGAAAACTATGTGTGCTGTGGATGGATGAGCTGGGTTGTCCATCCCTTTGGGGACCAGATTATAAGTCCTACATATTGGACATTGAGCTTGAGAGTTTGGACTTACACTGTTAACTTTTAGTTTATCTCTAGTTTGATAACTGTATCAGTTTCTCCTTATTCTTTTGGAATAAGAATGTTTAAATATGTAATTTATATTTTTATTTTATAGGAGCCCACACTTAAAAAACTTTGAACTTTTGAAGTATTGGAGTTTTTGAAGACTTTGGGAGCCAATAGGAGTTGGACTTATTTTACATTATGATATTAACATGAGACTTTTGGGACAATGGATGGATTATGACTTAGAGTAATGTGTTTGTGTATGAATTGACAAGGACTGGCTGGACTTAATTTTAACTGTTAACTTGACAACTTGCAAGCACCTGGGAGGAGTCTCGATGATAAGCTATTTAAGTTAACTTGGGGGAATGTCTTTGGAGGATAGTATTGATTTTTAATTGAGGCAGGAAGAATCACCGTGAATATGTGAGGCACAGTTTCACAGACTGGGTCCTAAACTGTAAGAGTGAAGAAAGTGGCAGGCAAGCAAGCAAAGATGTGCATGTTCTCTTTTTGTTTCTGACAGTGGATGTGATGCTCCCAGCTGCTTAAATTCTTGCCTCGACTTTCCTGCAACAATGGACTGTAACCTGGAATTGAAAGCTAAATAAAGTCTTTCCTTTCCTAACTGGCTTTTTGTAAAGAGGTTTAATGGTAGCAAAGTAATGAAACTAGGACAGTTGTCCACACTTGTTCTTGTTGATAGTCAGGATTACCTCAATGTGTATCCCCTGTGTTCCTCATACTCCAGAAATTATAACTGAGACTAGACAGTCACCCACACTTGTTCTTAGGGAACAGGACTGCACTCCTGCTCACTCACTTGCTCACTGCAAAGGGACTTTTAGGTGACTTTTGGAAGACAATTGGCTATGCCTTAGATGGTGTCCTCTCGTTCATCCTTGGTAAGGTTCCAGATGGTCCTAATTGGTTTCTGTTGCTCACTTCATGAAGAATCATGGGCCCAGTTTGTGCTGACTCAGCCTCAATCCATTTCAAAATCTCCTGTACCTGAAGCAGTGGCAATATCAGGAGCTACTTTATGAGCTAGATCAGCAGCAGTGGGATGATACCCATCTGTTATATTATATATAACTTTAATAATAGCCCATCTGGGGTTCCTGATCGGTTCTCTGGCTCCACTGACAGCTCCTTCAACTCAGCCTCCTCGATCATCACTGATCTGAAGACTGAGGATAAGGCTGACTACTACTGTCTGTTGTATGATAGCAGTAGTCCCACAGTGCTGAAAACTCATGAAGAAATAAGACACATACTCTCCTAGATGGCCCACTCTGGGTCAGCGATACAATTGTTTCAAACAGGGGTGATTACTCTACCATGTTTCCTCTTCCAATACTGGATTTGGGATGTCAAATCATGACTTCTACTATACGAGTTTCTCTTTCTGTGTATTGATGGCTAATCTCATGCATTTATTACAGGGCCAACCCTTGTCAGAGATGTAGTTGGAAGCTGAAAATTTGAGCACCTATACAGTTTTTTAAATTGAAAATAGATTCTTCTCTCAGGCAGTACATCCAGACCGCAGTTTTCCCTCCCTCCACTCTTCCCAGCTTCCCCACACCTCCTCTCTCCACCAGAACCACCCACTCTCCATCTTTCATTAGAAAAGAGCAGGTCTCCAAGACATAAGAACCAAACACAACAAAACATAATACAATAAGACAAGGCAGAAGCACACACCAAAGCTGGACAAGGCAACCCAACAGGAGGAAAAGATCCCAAGAAAAGGCAAAAGAGTCAGAAATACACCTGCTCCCACTGTTAGCAGTCCCAGAAAAACACCAAGTAAATGGCCAAAATATGTACTCAGAGGATTTGGCGTACACCCATGCATGCCCCGTGCTTACCCCTTCAGTCTCTGAGCCCATGTGCACCCTGCTTAGTTGATTCATAGGGACAGGGATGTGTCCTCCTGTTGTCCTCCTACAGCCTATTCTCCTCATCTTCCACAGGATTCCCAGAACTCTGAGGAGAGGGACTCGATGGAGACCTCCAATTTAGGATCTTTTTGCATAATGTCAGGTTGTGGGTCTCTACATCTTCTGCTAGAGAATGCTTTTCTGATAACAACTTGATAAGGGACTGATCTATGAGTATAGCAGAATATCATTAAGAATTGTTTCATTGATTATTTTTTCTTTTAGTCAGCCTTATTTGTTTCTAGTCTGGGTCTAAAGGGCTATCCAGTCTCTGGTTCTTAGACATCCAACCAGTGTCAGCCAGGACTTCCTCTCATGGCCTGGGTCTCAAATCAGACATTTATCAGCCACTCCCACAAGTTCTGTGACACCATTGCCCCAGCACATCTTGCAGGCAGGATAGATTGTTGGTTAAAGTTTTGTGGCTGGATTGGTGTCCACATTTCTCTTTCGGTAGCCTATAGAGTACCTTGCCTGTCCAAAGAGACTAGAATGTAGGGGTGAAGGCTCCATGCAGGAACCAGCTCAACCTCTCCACATTCAGTGAGCTGTGTGGATGTTGTCCTCAGCAATGGGCCCCTGCCATCAGTTTTTGGAGAGTAACCCTCTGTCCTAGCATCAGCCTGAGTTTTTTTTGGGATCTTCATGGGACCTCCTCAGCCAAAACTCAACTGAATGCAGTCCAGTCCCACCACTGGAAGACTTGCCTGGCTACAAGAGATGGCCAGTTAAGACTCTGTACTCATTGCTAGGAATCCTCACTAGGGTCACCCTCACAGATGCCAAGAAATTTCCACTGCACTAGGTTTCCCCACCAATCCCCAAATGCCCCTGAATTCTAGCTGTCTCTCCCTAAACTCTGTCCTTCCATCCCAACTCCCCCCACCTCCAACATGATCCTTCCTGCTCCTGTTCCTACCCTTCTCCAGTCCTCCTCCAAAATCTATTCTATTTCTCCTTTCCAGGGAGATCCATATACTCCTTTTTGGCTGTCTTGATCTATCCTCTCTGGGTCTACAGATTGTACCTTAGTTACCATTTATTTAATGGCAAATATCCACTTATAAGTGAGTACATACCATATTTGTCTTTCTGGGTCTGGATTACCTCAGGATTTTTTTTTCTATTTCCATCCATTTGCCTGAAAATTTCATGATTTTATTTATTTTTTTGATAGTTGAAGTGTAGGCAGAAGTTTCTACCCCACCAGTAACTCCCAAGTACCCAGCAGCTGCTTCCCAAATTACCACACATAGGCTTATATTAATTACAAATGCTCAGCCAGTAGCTCAGGCTTATTACTGACTAGCTCTTACACTTAAATTAACCCATAATTCTTATCTATGTTTAGCCACGTGGCTTGGCACCTTTTCTCAGTACAACATTATCATCTTGCTTCCTCTGCATCTGGCTTGTGACTCCTGACTCTGCCCTTCCTATACCCAGCATTCTTATGTTGGTCACCCCGCCTATACTTCCAGCCTGGCTACTGCCCAGTCGGCATTTTACTAAACCAATTCAAGTGATAAATCTTTATAGTGTACAAGAGGATTATTCCACAGCAGTTGAGTAATATTCCATTGTGTAAATAAACCACATATTCTTTATCCATTCTTTAGTAGAGGGACATCGGATTGTTTCCAGTTTCTGAATATTATGAATAAAGTCACTATGGACATAATTGAGCAAGTGTCATTGCATAGGATGGATTGTGCTTTGGGTATATGCCCAAGAGTGGTATAGCTGGATCTTAAGTATATCTATTCCCAATTTTCTGAGAACCAAAGATATTGATTTCCATAGTGACTGTACAAGTTTGCACTCCCAACAGCAATGAAGGAGTGTTCCCCTTGCTCCACATCCTTACCAGTGGGAGCTGTCACTTGTATTATTGATCTTAGCCATTATGACGGATATGAGATGGGAATCTCAAAGTAGTTTTGAATTGCATTTCCCTGGTGGCTAAGGCTGTTGAACATTTCTTAATGTGTTTCTCAGCCATTTGAGTTTCCTCTATTGAGAATTTTCTGTTTAGATTTGTACCCCATTTTTAAGTTAGATTACTGGGGTTTTTGATATCTAATTTCTTGAGTTCTTTAATATATTTTGGATATTAGTCTTCTATTGGATATGAAGTTGGTAAAATTCTTTTCCCATTCCCTAGGCTGCCTCTTTGTTCTATTGACAGTGTCCTTTGTCTTACATAGCCTTTCAGTTTCATGAGGTCCCATTTAATAATTGTTAATCTTATTACCTGCTCCATTGGTGTTCTGTTCAGAAAGTTGTCTCCATGCCAATAACATTCAAAGCTATTCCCCACTTTCTCTTCTATCAGGTTCAGTGTGTTTGGTTTTATGTTGAGGTCTTTGATCCACTTGGACTTGAGTTTTATGCAAGGTAATAAATATGGATCTGTTTGCATTCTTCTACATACAGCCATCTAGTTTGACCAACACCATTTGTTGAAGATGCTGTCCTTTTTCCAGTGTGTATTTCTGGCTTCTTTATAAAAACTCAGGAGTCCATAGGTGTGTGGATTTATGTCTGGGTCTTCAATTCCATTCCATTGGTCAATGTATCTGTTTTTATGCCATTACCATGCAGTTGTTTGGGTTTGGTTTGGTTTGTTTTTTTTTTTATTTAGTTTGTTTGCTTGTTTGTTTTATATAGTTCTTGTTGTACAACTTGAAATTGGGGATGGTGATACCTCCAGCAGTTCTTTAATTGTTCAGGATAGTTTTAGCTATCCTGGCTTTTTTGATTTTTTTTCATATGAAGTTGAATATTATATTTGCAGGGTCTGTAAAGAATTGTGTTGGAATTTTGATGGGAGTTGCATTGAATCTGTATATTGCATTTGGTAGGGTGGCCATTACTATATTAATCCTATTAATCTATGAACATGGGAGAGCTTTCAATCTTCTGATATTGTCCTCAATTTCTTTCTTCAAAGACTTGATGTTTTTATCATATAAGTCATTCACTTGCTTAGTTAGAGTTACACCAAGATTTTTAGAGGCTATTGTGAAAGGTGTTGTTTCCCTGATTACTTTCTCAGTCCATTTGTTGTTTCTATGTAGGAGGGCTGCTGTTGTTGTTTGTTTGTTTTTTGTTAGCTAATCTGTATCCTGCCACTTCACTGAAAGTGTTTATCACTTGTAGGAGTTCCCTGGTGGAATTTTTAGGGTCACTTGTATACTATAATATCATCTGCAAATACTTTGACTTATTCCTTTCCAATTTATATTCCCTTGATCTTGAGTTATCTTGTTCTAGCTAAAACGTAAAGTACTATTTTGAATAGATATGGAGAGAGTGGACAACCTTTTTTTGTTCCTGAGTTTAGTGGAATGGCTTTGAGTTTCCTCTCCATTTAATTTGATATTTGCTATAGGATTCCTGTAAATTGTCTTTATTGTATTTAAGTAAGTCCCTTTTATTCCTAATCTTCCCAGGACTTTTTATCATGAATGGGTGTTGGATTTTGTGAATAGCCTTTTCTGCATCTAATGATGTGATAATGTGGTTTTTTTCTTTCAGTTTGGTTATTTGGTTGATTACATTTATTGGTTTTTGTATGTTGTACCATCCTTGTATCTCTAAAATGAAGCATAATTGATCATGGTGGATGATCCTTTTGTT